AACCGAGGCCAGGTGAGCCGGTACCTGCTCTTTCACCAGCATCCGCTCAGTTTGTCTTCGGTGGTCCCAGCACCCCTCAGGGGCTAGTGTGTGAAGGAAGGAAGAAATGCCTCCCCACCACCATGCTATGGGGGCCACTCCTACTTGCAAACGGTACAGCAAGAGAGGGGAAAGGGCTGGTGACACGGAGGGCCACTTTAAAACGAGGAGACACTGAGGACCAATTTGCCATGCTCCTGAACGGCAGGCTCCAGTGGCGTAAACACGCCGGCCGTACCGACCTGCACGGAATGGGAGGTTCGCATCTATGCCTTATGAATTTCAATTCAGCAAACTATGCTTAAAACACAAATACCCCAAACTGGGTGTAAACACATCAGAAACCTGGCTGCTGTCGTCTGCAGGGGGTACGGTTACACAAGCATGAACTGAAGCTTCACTCAGGAAAGCGAATGTCGTTCTCCAGGGACTGTGTTCCCAATTTCCCTTAGTTTGTACCCTCAGGGCTTTCAGCTGGCCTTGTGGGGCAGATGCCCTCAGAAGGAGCTGATGGTGTCCCTTTGTATACAATAACAGCTATGCACCACCAAAGTACAAAGCCAGCAAACACTAAGCTTCCGGCTTGGGTGTACCAGTCAATGGTCTCTTCTGAGGGGTTCCTGTTTTTCTCATTAAATAATAAGTCACATGGGCTGGGGCCACTGACCAGCCCAGCAACCTCAACAAAATCTATTTCCCTTTATCTCTGAGGAAGAAATGACTGCTCATTCCCTAGGAATGGTTGCTAGGAGCAGAATGCCTGATACACAGATGTGATTAAGAAAAAAATTCAATTAACATCACCTTTCAGCTGATGATGGGGACATGTTGCTGAACACTGGATGTGGGTACCTGTGTGCACATATGTATGTCTGCGGCTGCATGCAAGTGATTGTATGTAGCTGTGTGTATAGGCCCATGCGTGTGCACATGTGTGTCTGAGAGTATAAGCATGTGGGCAAGTGTTGTGCATGTGTACTTATGTGTAAATCCATGCTTGCACATGTGTGCATTCCTGATCATATGCACGCATGTTAATGTGTACAAAGACATCCCACAAAAGCATCTGTATGTGGTGAAAACCTCCATGGAGGGAGGGGAAGGCTGTGGAGGTGGGTAAAGCTGCTCTCTCCACAGTGGGCATGGGAGTGGGGAATTCATACAATTTGTAAGCTTTAATACCTTGGGGGAGACTACTTTTCAAAGGACTTGAAAAATATATCTGAGGACTCCTTCTAAAGTGAACAATCACCTCCTAATTCCGGTTTGAAGAAATGCATCTTCTAGTTTTTAAAATGTGGCATAGAACTTGGAGACGGGTCAGTGTCTAAGGCCTGCTGACAGTGTACTTCAGAACAGGTCTGGAAGGATTGGCTACAAGATGGCACTTCCGTGCAACAGAATAACAGAAGAGGTCATCAAAGAGCTGTAGAACCTTGAGGAGACACAGACACAGGGGCAGGGATCTGCTCTCTGAGCGTCTCAAGAGCTGGGGAGGGGAGAAAATGCCTGGGTCACAAGAGTGGGTGTGACAGCTTACTTCACTTGTCAACATTCCCCAGGAAGAAGCTCAGTTATTTCTCTTCTTGTGTTGTGATGAAGACACATGAAGCATTAACTTTGTTCCACAGAAATAGTTTCCTTCCAGCTAAAGAGATGGTTCAGCACTTAAGTGCATGTACCGCTCTTGCAGAAGACCCAGGGTCTGTTCCCATCAACCATGTAGGCACACGACCACCTACACCCCCAGCTCTGGGTCTCTGCAGACACATGAACCCATGTGCAAGCACTTAACTACACACAGATCCACAGACACACATTTACTTAAAATAATAAACGTAAGTCTTAAAGCTTAAAATAAAAAGAGGTTGGGGCTGGAGATATGGCTCAGTGGTTATGAGCACTGGCTGCTCTTCCAGAGGACCTGGATTCAATTCTCAACACCCACATGGCAGCTCACAGCTCTCTGTAACTCCAATAACAGGAGATCCGACACCTTCACACCAATGCACATAAAATGATTTAAATAAATTATTTTTAAAAATAAAATAAAAATAAAAAGAGGCTGGGCATGGACATGATGCCTCCAAACCCAGTGCTCAGGAGGCAGAGGCAGGCATAAATAACAGAAAAAGAATAATCAGAAAAAAAAAAAGATTGCAATCCTCTCCAAGGTCTCCAGACCTCTGAACTCAGGGATGCTGGCTTAAGGTCATCAGAAGGAGGGAATGAGGGATACACATTGAAGGCCCAGCCACTCCTGGTTACACTTTACAGTTCTTGGAGTGCTGAGGATACTCGGTGACAACTAGGGAAGTTGCCTACAGTGGGAACCACATTTTGGAACAGGAATGCCCCTACCCATGTCCATGTGAGAGTTAAACTTGCTACCACGCCTGTGGGTGGGACCTCGAGCTGCCCTAGCATAGTTTCCAGAGCCCTTGGTCAAGGGACACAGGGCACAGCTCAGCACAGTTCTGCTCTCAATCCTGGGGAGGGGGAAGCAGTGGTCCCTCCAGGGAAGGGCAGGGAGCATCATTCCAGCTGAGTCTCATCAATTAGTTTCCACCCCTTCTTAACGACAGTCCTGGTGGCTCAGATGTATGAGGCAGAAGCTGGTGCCAGCTCTTGTCAGTTTGTGTTGGGATGGAGAATCTAGACCTGGAGAAGATGGGTCATCCTAGCTGTCATGGGGTGTGGTACCCGGGGCACACTCTGAGCTTTTCTTTCTTTTGTTTTCCCATTGTCACCCACACAGCTCCACAAGACAGAGGCACAGAGAAGATGCTAAGACCATTCATAACGGAACGAGAAAGGCCAGTAATTAATTGCTGCCCAGAGGGGCTCCGTTAGGGTTTCAGGAACCTGAATTCTGCTGCTGCTCTCCAAGGAATGGCTGGAGTCACACACCTCCCAAGAGGTTTGATCCACACTGAACACAACTAAGGTGGGCTTGGTAGCCAGGCAGCATGATCCTTAACATAGGAAGGGGTGTTCAAGTGCCTCCCATGAGCTCTTTCTCCTTTCCCTGGTCCTGCCGCCTTCCCACTCAAGCCTGTGTGGGCTAGGCAAGGCCCAGGGCAGACTGCAAAGCTCTGAGCTAAACAAACTCTTAAAAGGGCAGGGAACCTCTGATGAGCCATTTTTCAGACTTTAGTTCTACCGAGTGGAACTTAAAAGGCCTTTCCATTTGCTCAGCTTGCATTCCCTCTGCCCGGGGCAAACAGCCTCCCTCCAAGGAGTCAAGAGCAATTGGTAGGGAGTGCACAGCCCAGCTAACCATCCTGCTCCAATCTGCCGCAGAAGCCCTCCAATCTGCCACAGCCGGGGTTCGCTCAGCCCTGGGCAGCAGCTGTGTAGGCCAGCAGCTGGAAGACATCTGGATTTCACCACCAAGAAGCACCCTACAAGTGCTCAGCCAGAGCTCGTTTGATCAGAGCAACAGCATCTACAGCCTGGCTTAATTTCCAGGAGCAAACTCTAGGAAGGATCTGAGTGACACTGCTTCATGCTCTACACAGTGTCTCCCAACATGGATAGAGGCGCTGGGCCCGGGGTACCCAGGTGAGAACCCTGCTCTGTCAGCCGTGAGCAGGGAAACCAAGACCTTGCTGAGTGCAGGGAGAACACGTATGCCTGCAACACCAGCATCAGCACATTGCAAAGCATTCCCTTGGCTAAAGCATGGACGTGAAGGGATAACACTCAGCCGGGGCAGCCTTCGCTCTACGTACAGCACCTTGGACAGACACACACATTCCGAGTTCTTGACTCTTGGCTGGGCATGAGAACTTATGGAAACAGAGCAGCCCCCGAGGATGCCTGAGTTCAGAGAGTGTTCCCCTGGTCCCTGCTCAGCTTCTGGCCCTCTGCTGTCCCCTCACTATTATCCATAGTCATCAACACAATCCAAGTTACCCTGACCATAGGAGGAGGACAGGACCAGAGCAAGCCCTTGCTAGGGCCACCCAGGTCCTCCCTAAGCATTTCCCTGCATACTGATGAGGAGACTCCAATGAGGAAGACTCCCAAGGAAAGATGTCCCTCCTCAAGGTACTGGCACATAAGGATGTCCCCACCGGAGCCAGCCTCCCTCCAGCACCTCCTTGACACTCAGCTCCATGGAAACCTGGCACACATTCGCCACCATGGATCCCACAATCCACTAACCAGGGCTAGGGTATCTGGCGTGGAGGAGGAATGGCCTGGTTTCCAATCAGCCACACCTCTTGGGCAGCCTGGGAGAGTCTGGCCCTGATCCCCTACAGGAGCTTTGCTTTCTGTTTATTAAGCTGCTTTCTCTCCTGGCATTCAGAATACCTAGGAAACCTCAGCCAGGGCTATTCATAGGCCAAGGGCATCCCTGGGGAGAAGGATGAGTTCACAGCCACAGCACAGGTGCCAAGAGTAACCAAGGTTCCCAGTTGGCCCAGCCACATTGGGGAGCGAGGGCTGGAACTCCTGGGCCCTCCTGCCGTCTAGCCTGGCCACTTGGGCAAAGCTTTCTACCACCCATGCTGGGACCCAGACCCTACTAGAAGCAGAGCCTGCAGTCACACAGTGGGGTCCCACCCTAGGTCAGACCTGGAGGGAGCCAGAGAGGAGGAGGCTTTGGCACAGTGACATGGAGTATAAATGACTCTTGTAAACAGAGTTTAATAAAAAGGCAGTGAGGGAATTTATGAGCAGCCCAAGGATAATTAAAATTATTTATCTACTTACCTCCCTTGCTGGCTGATCAGTCTATTAATTATCTATTATGTACACACTGATTTGCATTTTAGTGAGGGGAGGGGTAAGGACAGGTGAGCAGCACAGGGGTTGGGGGCAGGATTCACACTGTTGGAACAGTACAAACGAACACTCCTTTAGGCAGAGCATGACTCCCCTCCGTTGACCCCTATTCTCACATCCCTTGACCACTGAGAATCAGAAATGGCAGAGTAGAAAGTATCACACACCTGTTTGCAGAATGGGCCACTCCTAGGACAGGTTCCCGCCGAAGAGGCCTGTGGGCCAGCTCCGGGGAAGGCTGGCAGATTCCCCTCGGTGCTTCTGACTTCACGCTGCATTTGAAAAGAAAACAAGAGACAGAATCATTTTCAGTCCCCTCATATCTGGGAGACATCAGATGCATATCGCCCTGTGCTCTTGATTAGAAATATCACAGGATGCAGTTGCTTCTTCTGCTGGTGCTGGCCCCATTGCTGTAGCCAACTCCCCAGGGCGCCTTTTCCTACTTCTGGACTATTCTTACATGGCCACACCGGCTGTCAGGGGTGGGGAGCAGGGTGAGGAGAGGATCCTTCTGACTGCAAGGTTTTGGTTAGTGTGTAGTATCAGGCCAGGTGTGTTCAGAAACAGAAACCTGCCAGGCCCAGGCCCGGCCACAGATCTTTAATGTAGGGTTTCATGCAGCATGGTTTTACTCAGTCATTCATCACTCCATCACCCCACCCTGGATCCTCATCCCAATACTCTCAGCAGGCCCCAGGTGGAGCCAACCCAGGGATGTGATCAGTGTTGTCTTGTCTGGATGTGGGGGAATAGACAGAGCCCGAGGGCTAAGAGGGGGACGGGCAGAGCAGGTGAGGTCCTATCTCTTCCTGCTGTATGAGGATGTGGAATGCTAACCACCATGAACCACGGGGAGCCAGGTCTGCAGTTCTGCTGTCCGCATCACTGGTCCAGAACAGGGACTCCTACCGTGAGCTGCAAAGGGACTGGGTGGGGATCTTAGCCTCCCAGCAAAGCTGCTGTGGTAGTGGCTCCTCTTTCTGGAAAGGAGGGCTTGGTCTCAAGTCCCTGAGCGCACCAAAACCCCTTGGCAACAAACCCTGCCCATCCTCCCAGACCCAGGAGCTACTGGGCAGTCACATGCAGAGCCAGGTGCCCCGGTATCTTGGTGGGGGATTGACTCTAGGGTTTCATGGGTATCAGAGTTTGAAGATGCTCGAGAGCCCAAGATACAGTGGTGTGATCCTAGCATGGAGCCTGTTCGTAGATGTCAATTTCCATTACATTTTATTTATTTATTTATTAATTAGTTAATTAATTAATTTATTACATGTGGGTGCAGACATGGATGTGCGCGCCACAACCTACACGTCGAAGTCAGAGGACAATCTGTGGGGGCCGGTTCTCTCCTTTCCATAATGAGGTCTTGGGAACCAGACTCAAGTTACTGGGCTTGGTGACGCTTGGTGGCAAGCCCCTTAGTCACTGAGTCATCTTGCTTACCCTCTCCCCTATACTCTATTTATTTACTTAAAATAAGGTTACATTGGCATATCTGCTCATCCATTGTGTGCAGAGGTGTGCACGTGTGTGATGTATGTGGAGTCACTCTCCTAAGAGTGCACACATAGAGCTGGAGTGACAGAGGGGGTCTTCCATCGCTTCCCACTTTACTGCTTGAGATGAGGCCTCTTACCGAGCCCGGAGCCTTTCTGCATTTGGCTAGATGAGCTGCACAGTGAATCGCCGGGATCTCATCTGCCTCTTCTGGCACTGGGCTTACAGGCATGCACCCCACATCCAGCTTTTACGTGGGTGCTGGAGACCCGAATCCAGGTCCTCACACTACATAGCCAGTGCTCCCCCACAGAGCCATCTCCCAGCCCCCACAGACTGAAGCTGGTGCTTGTAGGTAGCTGAGCTCTACATTGTTTAGGGACCAGAAAGAAAGGAAAGGTCTGTGCACACTCACAGCAGGAGCAATGACTTTTCCCAAATATTTCCATCTGTGGTTGGTTGAACCCGAAGATGTGGAGTCCACAGAAAGAGAAGCCCGGCTCCTCTCTGTGGATTGTTCTTGATAAGCCGAGCAGGGAGCCCAGATAGTCATCTTGGAGGGTAGTGAGAAGTCACAGCTTCTAAGCGACACCTCATTCAACCACAGAGACTTGCAAGGGGGCCACAGGTAACCCAGCCTGACAGCCTGACAGGAAATTCCCGAAGTGTGTGAATGTGTAGTTTGCTTTTTTTTTTTTTTTCTTTCCTTTTCTTTTCTTTTAAAGTCAGGGTCTCTTGTGTCCCAGGCTGGCTTTGAACTTGTTATGCAGCCAACAATAACTCTGAACTTGTGATCTCCCTGCCCTCAACTGCCACGTGCCGGGATTACTAAATGTATTATCTTAAATGTTGTCCTGGGACAGGCTGCTTTCAGGAGTGACAGGGAAGTCACACCAAGTGTCCCCAGGATCAGGCAGGACCACTAAGTCTCCCCTAAACAGATGAAATAGCAGAAATCAGGTCATAGCCCCCCCCAAGCAGGATGCCCTCCTTGTTCCTGGATGCACAAATGTGGGAATGGCTGACAGCAGTCCAGCGTCAGTGAGGGCAGAACAAGGCAGAGATGTGCACTGGTTGGTCCACAGTCTTGGAGGGTAGCAGCCGGTGCATTCTGAGCCCTGTCACTCACTGCCTGGTGCACAGGTGCCAAGCACCTAGAGTCTCGTGGTCACTCTCCAAAACAGCCATGGTGCAAAAACTGAAAGGCAGGCATTGTATGAGTGGCCTTAAAAAGGACACAACCAGGTCCGCTATCATTTGTGTGGGGGAATAGTTCTCTCTCTCTCTCTCTCTCTTTCTCTCTCTCTCTCTGTCTCTTTCTCTCTTTCTCGTGTGTGTGTGTGTGTGTGTGTGTGTGTGTGTGTATGACACCTATGTGAGCATATGTACACACACATATGTGTGTGCACTCCCTCATGCATGCCAGTGGTGAACACTAGAACCTTCCTCTATGGGTCTTCACACTATTGTTTGAGTCAGGGTCTCTCCCTGAACCTGGAGCTGGCTGATTCATCAAGGATAACTGGACAGTGGCCCCTAGGAGCCCTCCTGTTTCCACCTCCCAGTGCTAGGATTATAAGCCCACGCCACTGCCCCAACCCGGTTTTTACCTTAATTTTTAAATGAGTTCTGGTGGTTCTAACTCTGGATCTCACATGCATCCTGCAAGCTCATTGCCACGGAGCCATTTTTCCAGACCTAGGGAGGATTTTCTTTCTTTTTCTGTTTTCCCCTTTCTTCCCCAAGGAACAAAAATAAACAGACACCAAATGGATGCTCAGAGCTGTCCCTGGTTGTGGGGAGGGGTGAAGCTGGCTGTGCTCGGAGGAGACTGAAGTCTATCTGGGATTCCCCCTTTCTGAGTCCTTATGACGCAGTAAACTGAGCATGGTGGCCCGTCCCTGTAAGGTCATCCAGAGACAGAGTCAACAGGTAAAGGCCAGTGTGGGCTGTGCAGAGAAACCCTTCCATGACATCTCCCCACCCCTGCAAGGAAAGGAATCAGGGCTGGACAGCACCATGTTAACCACTGTGGATTACAGGAGGGAGAAGACACACATTTCTGATGTTTTCGTCTTAATTATTGAATCTCCCTCAATTTTTTTTTGACAACTGCGTAGTTATATTTTGAGCCTTTGTGGGGAAGGTGTCACCCTTGTCCATCCTCAGGAGATGACACTTCCCAGAAGTGTGAAGTTTCATGCACGCGGAACCTCAGTAGAGGAGAGGTGGTAGTATTCCTGATAGAACTCAGGAGGCAGAGGCAGGCAGATCTCTGTGAGCTTGAGGCCAGCCTAGTCTACATGCCAAGCTCTAGGCTAGCCAGAGCTACACAGAGAGATCCTGTCGTTCAAATAAATAAATAAGTAAATAAAAAAGAAAGGAGCTTAGGGTCTGGCTGGTGGTTTGACAGCCAAGCAACCAGTGGAATCAGGTGACGTCTACCCAAGAAGACCTCTACCTATGACGATCTCTATACTAAGACCATCCCGGTTTCCAGGAGCCCGGGCCTCCCTGCCATCTTCCTGGTAGGAGAATTTGTCAAGCAGGAGGTCCTCAAGTTCAGGAGAAACACCATTACCCTTACAAAGTGACTCCACTCCACGTGCATGGGTGGAAAGCATGAGCAGTGAGTGACCTGCCACAAGAGGCTCCTTGGAGAGCATTGCGGCTCCAGCAGCTCCTGCAGGACTGCCCTCACACAATCAAGTCTAGGAAGACGACAGGCTGCAGCTGGGAACTTGCTCAGTAGCGCCCCCTCCTGACTGCACCTCAAACCAGCTGGGACTTTTACCGATGGGTTTGGCGTGAGCCACATACAGCCTCACACACGCACGCATGGCCAGCTCTTGCTTTGATCTCACACAGCTACACTTCCAGTGTTACAAACTCACAAAAGCCTCGTGATCAAATTCCAGGTCATTACTCAAGGAAAGGGACCCCTCTGTGGTCGACAGCGGCAGTTTCAAACCAATTAAAATCAGCCCCGCGTTCCTGCAGGCCGCCGCTGTGCCGCCACCCTGGAGGTCTCCCAGGGCCTATGCTTGCAATGAGCAAGACGCAGGAAATGTTAATGGAGACACTTAAATGGCTCGCCGAGGGGATTCTGGTAAATAAGGCCACTCTACACGAGGCTGGGGGAGACGTCTCTCGAGCTTACCCTGGAGGGAACTTCAATAAACACGAGATTGGATTGGAAACAATTCACGCCGCAAGGGGTGGGTCTACAGGCAGAGCAGGGAGGGGTCTTCGGAGGAGAAAAGCTATTTCATTTCCTATTAGTTCCTCTTTGCAAGTGTCTTTGCCCCTGCTGCTGGCTCCTGAACCTGACTGGGCCTGACAGCACCCACTGAGCAGGCAGGGGACACCAGGGCGTAATTTGCCAAGTAAAAATGGGAGGGGGTCGGATGGGACTGAATAGATAAGGGAAGGGAGGTTATTCTGAGGAGAGCAGCGGCTGAAGGGCCAGGAAAGGATCTTGGGGGCAGAAGGATCGGTTGTGTCTAGGAGCAATGACTAGAAACGCTATGGGGTACTGTTTAAGGAAGACCAAATGTTTGCTTGTTTTAAATGCCTTTGTTGCATTTATCAAGTGTCATGGACGGGGGCATCCATGGGCCGTGGCTGAGTGTGGAGGTCAGAGGACAACTTGCAGGAGTCAGCTTCCTCCTTCTATCATGTAGGTCCCAGAAATTGAACTCGGGCACTAGGCTTGGCAGCAGATGCCTTAACTTCTCTGGTCAACCATTGATTGATTGGTTGGTTGGTTGGC